TGACCAATCACAGACAAAGTACAGAAGAATAATCGATTGTGATTTGTCAGTTTCTTACTGTTACAGTCTAAAACTCTCCATTGTAGACGACCCTTAACACTTCGGACATCACGCATTTGAGCAACTGCTCGCGATCAGGGCAGATTTCCGCCGTAGCTTACTAGCTTAACCGCTTGAAGCCGTACAACTTTGCTATTAGACATTTTTCCAAAATGCATTCTTATTGATAATATTTGGGGGATCCGACCCTTTTTGATTAAAGTATTTTCTTTAAACCAATTAATTGGTCTTATTATTTTGCGCTCAAATATATTAAGGGTATGATTTCTTAAAAAATAATAGTTTCACTAACTAAATAATATTTTCCAAGATGTTTTACATTTTGTGTTAAAAAATTGTTAACTTCAAACCTTTATAACTTAAAAAGTATTTAATGAAAAAATGTTTTATTATAGTGTTTTGAAAAGCTCTTGCGATAAGTTATAAAAATATGCAATAAAATGTAGAGGGTTCTAGGTAAAAAAATAAGATTGACCTTGAAATGACCTTAAAGGACATGGTCAATATCAAAGTCAAGGTCATCATCTTACTCCTCGCTTAAAACCATACAACTTTACTGTTGGACAGTTTCTTCAAAATGCATTCTACTGATGATATTAGAGGGTTCAGTACTTCTTGTTGACCCTGTATATAAATACAGTAGCGGACAAAAATTTAAGACAACGAATTGTAATTTAGAGTGTAAACATGTTACATGAATATTTTTGTTCTATTTGGGTTGTGAGTGTGGAATAATCTAACTATATAGGTGACCTTCTTGATTTTAAAGCGTCAGTTATCAACTGTAAATAATATTCAAGTTAGAGCAGGTAGTTTCTTGTGAACATTTGTAAACAGCAGAATACGTTCAACAAAAAGAGACTACGACGTTGTCTTAATTGATTTGGACGAAATTCATAGGATCGATAGATGACTATGTGGAGTATTGCAGGGTAAAGTACTAAGATGCACTACTCAAGCATTCGCAAGAAAATCGAATGTGAAAATTTAGAGGTACCTTATGAGGATATGAAATGGGTCATGTAATCGAAGAGCGCGTAGCGTAGCGGTAGCGTACTAGGTTAGTAGTGTCAACGCTGCTGGTTCGAGTCTCGATATATATGTATATTTTTTTTGTTTTTTTATTTTATAATATAATTTAAATGTAAATAATACGTTTTTTATTTATTTATTGCATGTTATAAAAGTGTAGGTTTTTGCACACAAAATCCGTGATTTTAAAAATACAGTAAAAATAAATAAATTATTACTAATTGTGTGTTTTTAAAAAGCGAATAAATCATTGTACGCAAAATGTAAAAATATATGCAACATATCTTATTTATTTGACCTAGAGGAGACAATACATAATGCAGAATGATATTTGTCATAAAAACAAATAAAGCAATAATTTTTACGACATTGTGCACATTGTATGAACGCTGCAGGTTTACATTGACATGGTTTCTTTAAAATATTTATTGAAAAACATACTTTGTTGACATTCATAAATATATCTCTTTCGTTTGTTAATATGAAAGCAAACCACATGCATATTGTTACATATTTCGTAAACTCGGGACAAATAATTGATGATGTATGATTGAATGAATTTTTATGCAATTTTCACGAGATGTTATTTCGCGGTTTTGTTCTATTAAAGTCAAACAACTCTGCAATAAAAAAAAATTCATTCAATCATACATCATCAATTATCCGCCCCAAGTTTTCGAACTATATTACAATATGCATGGTTTGCTTCCAAATTAACAAACGAGAGAGAGATATTTATAAATGTCAACAAAGTATGTTTTTCAATAAATATTTTAAAGAAGCCATGTCAATGTAAAACTGCAGCGTTTATACGATNTGCACACTGTCGTGAAAATTATTGTTTCACTTGTTTTTATGACAAATATCCTGCATTATGTATTGTCCCATGTAGTTTAAACAAATAAGATATAATGCATATATTTTTACATGTTACGTACAATTATTTATTCGCTTTTTAAAAACACAATTAGTAATCAGTTATTTATTTTTACTGTATTTTTTAAATCAAGGATTTTTTATGCAAAAAAATACACTTTTATAACATGCAATAAATAAATAAAAACACGTATTATTTACATTTAAATTATATTATAAAATTTTAAAAAAAAATATATATATATATATATATTGAGACTTGAACCAGCGTTGACACTAATAACCTAGTACGTTACCGCTACGCTACGCGCTCTTCGATT